TGCCCAGGTGCTGACGTAGTTTGACAGCAAGGAGTGGTTCCCTCCTCTCCCACCCTTGTGGACACAGGAGGAAAATAAATATCTGTCCCTCCCAACCTTCTTCTGTACCTTGACTCTCTCCACACTGGTTGGAGATCTGCAGGGACATGCTTCCTTCTCAACTATACAAACAACATTAAAAACAAATAATAACAAAAAGAAAAATATTTCCCCACTTTTAAAAGAAAATCTTTATTTATTTATTGGAAAGTCAGATATACAGAGAGGAGGAGAGACAGAGAGGAAGATCTTCCGTCCGATGATTCACTCCCCAAGTGAACGCAACGGCTGATACTATGCCGATCCGAAGCCAGGAGCAAGGAACTTCTTCCGGGTCTCCCACGCGGGTGCAGGGTCCCAAAGCTTTGGGCCATCCTCGACTGCTTTCTCAGGCCACAAGCAGGGAGCTGGATGGGAAGCGGGGCTGCCAGGATTAGAACCGGCACCCATATGGGATGCTGGTGCGCTCAAGGCGAGGCCATGCTGCCAGGCCTCCCACTTTTTTTTTTATTGTGGTAAAGCTAGGGGGGCTACAGTGGTTGGACAATGTGGGGAGTTGATTCTGGGAGGGTTTGGAATTGTGCTTTGGGTAGATGACGGCAGTGTGGAGGTCGGGTGGAGAGCGGAGACATCCGGAAGCCATTGCTGTAATTTAGGAAAGAGGGAGATCTACTTCCCTACTTTAAATCCTTCATATTTGATGAAGGAGAAAATGTTAAAAAGAAATGTTGTAAATGGGGCCCAAGTACATGTTTATTAAGATCTGGAGCAAATGCTTCATACCTTAACAACGGAAGCTACTACTAACTACATAGCCATTATTCGGGTTCTCACAAACGCCAGAGTGGAATAATTGAATCATATACTTCCTAAGATTTAGTTATCATGGTAATTATTAATGATAGTAGGATTATGTAGTAGTTTATAATGCAATCTCCCTTCTGTTTCGCAAGTTAATGAATACAAACATTTTAAATTTTCTTGCTTGCAACATTTTCTCTTCATGTTTCCTGCAGGTTTTTACTGATGACAAGGACCCTAGTTACGGAAGAGAATGGAAGCATGTGAGCCATGCCCTTTGGCTCATCAGCCTAATTTGAGAATCTTCAAGACCACCATCCATGTCCATTCTGTTGAAGTAAGTGTAGTTTATCTCTTGGGAATCAGCGTACTTTGAGATAAAATGTTGCAGATTTAATGGGGGAAACTGAATATGTTTTTGTGTATGTGAAGTACCCAAAATGTTTTCCTCCTGGCTGGATGACTTTTTAAAAAGATATTTATTTATTTTTATTAGAAAGGCAGAAGATATACAGGGAGAGAAGATACAGAGAGAAAGATCTTCTGTCTGTTGGTTCCCTTCCCAAGCGGCTGGAGCTGAGCCAATCCAAAACTAGGAGCCAGGAGCTTCTTCTGGGTCTCCCTTATAGGTACAGGGTTCCAAGGTCTTGGGCTGTCCTCTATTGCTGTCCCAGGCTACAAGCAGGGAACTGCATGGAAAGTGGAGCAACCAGGACATGAACCGGTGTCCGTACGGAATCCTGGCACATGCAAGGTGAGGATTTAGCCACTAGGCTACTGCGCCGGGCCCTCAAATACATTTTGGACGTTGGATTTTCATATACAGGGTTCTTGAAAGTTAAGTCACCGGGCCCGGCGCGGTGGCGCAAGTGGTTAAGGTCCTCGCCTAGCACGCCCAGGATCCCATATGGGCGCCGGTTCTAATCCCGGCAGCCCCACTTCCCTTCCAGCTCCCTGCCTGTGGCCTGGGAAAGCAGTCGAGGATGGCCCAAAGCTTTGGGACCCTGCACCCGCGTGGGAGACCCTGAAGAGGCTCCTAGCTTCGGATCGGCATAGCATCGGCTGTTGCGTTCACTTGGGGAGTGAATCATTGGAAGGAAGATCTTCCTCTCTGTATATCCGCCTTTCCAATGAAAAAATAATAAAAATAAATCTTAAAAAAAAAAAAAGAAAGAAAGTTAAGTCACCAACCCTACACCAAGACAAGAGAAAACAGATGGAGAATAATAATTGAACTTAGAATTATGAAAGCTAGGAGCCAGCGTTATGGTATAGCAGCTAAAACCACTGCCTGTAATGTTAGCATGCTGTAAGGGAGCCTGTTTGAGTCTCAGCTGCTCCACTTCCAATCCAGGGAAGGGAAGTGGAGTAGCTGGGATATGAACCGGAGCCCATATGGGCTCCCAGCACATGCAAGGTGAGGACTTTAGCCATTAGGCTACCATAGCCATTAGGTTACCATGCCGGGGCTTGGATGACTTTTAAAATAACCTTCTGGAAGGATATTTTATGATTCTCCACTAGGACACATATTGCACATTCACTTTACCGTCTTACACACCAAGCATCTATCCTGCCTCAGGTCCTTTGTATTTGCTACTCCCTCTCATGGAACATTCCTTAGATGGCCATGAGCTACTCCCTCACCTAAGTCCTTTCTCAAATATCACTTCCTCAGAGCAGCCTTCCCTGATTAGCCCAACTAAAAATAGAACACCGTCCCTACCCCTTCAGCCCGCTTCTCCTTGGCAGCATTTGCCTCTGTTGGGCAGCACAGGCTTGCCTCACCCTTGCAGCACAAGGTCCATGAGGGCAGGTGCTTGGTCAGCCTCGCCTCTTGCTGTTATCCACGTAATCTAGCACGTAATAATTGCTCACGCCATATTTGTAGAATTCATCAAATGGATTTGCAATTTCAGTTTAAATATTTACCTAATTTTTTTTTCCCCTCCCTGACCAGACAGTAAATTAATGGAAGGCAGCCAAAGCCCTGGGTGATTCTTTATCTCCTCTAGTTCTGCATGGATGAGAGACATGCAGCCAAGATTTGCTCAATGCCTTGAAACTTGGCTAACCTACAGGGCAGCCAGTCAGCATTCCACGCTGCTGAACGAGAACGGTCATTCCTATGCAGCCCGCGCTTTGTACTTTAAGGAATATTAACTCATTTGGTCATTTTGCCACTCTGAGTACCTTCTAGCTCCTAATATCAATACAGACATAAGAAATGCTATATTTTGCTTTTTCTTTTTGGGTCGGAGTGGCACTTTCAAAACATCAGAATAAATAAATTAATTTCATAACTGCATGCTGGTACCTGTGTGTCCACTGATGGATTTTCTGATGAACGCTGATTTCTCACGGTGAATATTTCTGAATGGTGGGAATTTAATAATATTTGCATTCCTGGGCTTCCTGTTTCTTATTTGCATTTTTATAGCAAATATGAAGTTGTAAAAAAAAAAAAAACCACACAAAACACCCACCCTATTCCTACACAGTGTTTTATTTTAGTGTGAATAGCAAAATAATACTGCCAAATGTTTTCCTGGACACGGAATTTTTAGTATATAGTGAAGTTCATTCTGAGAAGACTTTTAATACTGACTTATAAATAAGTAAACTCATTAAATAAAAATTCCTAAGTTTTGGTGTGTTTTCCATATCAATGGTCATGTTAATCTCTTAGTAAGCCAAAAAAAAAAAAAAAAAAGGTGGAACAATGCCTCATTCTTGGGTAAAATATTCTTTAAAAACAGCTTTTCCAGAATATTGCACTCTCAAAATAGAAGGCCGAGATCAGGTGTGGGGGACTCCAGCTGGACTTTGGCCTGACCGTGCTCCCCCTCTGGATGATTCGATACGGGATCCCACAGGCCCCATTCCTGGCCTCTCTTCTTTAACCATAAGGATCAGAGTAGACGTGAAAATCGCTATCTTGTGGAAAAATCTCGTAATGCTATCAACGAGGTCCTCATCTCAGGCGGCAAAGCCTTAGGGTTTTTTTAGAGTTGATGGTGCACGAGGAAGAGTTTTCTCAGGGTGACTGGCGCACCTTGGGGCGAGCCAGGCTTCGGCTTGGGTGTCTCCGCGTGTCTCCGGGGGGTTGCGTGTTTGGGTGAGCAGTGTGAGCACGCGGCGAGGGGTGTGGGTGCTTCTGACAGCTCCCACGCGCGGGAGGTGAACGACCTGCCCCGCCCGAAGACGCGCGTGGAGCCCCGTCGGTGGGCGCAGGTTTGTCTTCCGCCCCGGCCTGTGGCTCTCCGCATCGGGGCCAGGGCGCGCCAGGGCGGGGCGCAGGGGCGGCGGCGCAGCCCGGCTCCCTCAGGGCACATGCTCCGGTGGGAGGTGCGTGTCCGAGCGTCCGGGGGTGTGTCCCCACCGCACCCCGTCAGGGTTTCAGGAGCCGCCCGGAGAGCCTAGGGGTCCCGGAGGCGCAGTGGGGGAGGGGACAAGGGCAGGGGCGGGGCCTGCCACAAGCCCCAGTCCCTGCGGAGCCGGCGGCCACTTCAGTGCGGCCTCCCGAGTCTCTGCGGCCGGGAAGCCGAGGCTGGGCGGCGGTGCGCGCGCGTCAGAGGCACACGGACGCCCAGGTACCTGGCGGCCCCCCGGCGCCCCGGCACGGGGACGGTTGGGCCTAGGCGGTTGCGGCGTCCCCGCCGCGCCGCACCGCGGCCTCTGTGACGCACGGCGCGGCCTCCGGGGCTGAGCGGCCGGCGCGGCGCGGCGCGGCGCGGCGGGGGGCGGGGCCTGCGCGGCGGGAGGCGGGGCCACCGGGGGCGGAGCCGGCGGAGGCCCCGCCCCGGGGCCGGAGGAGCGAGGACGCTACGGAGCAGGCGCGTCCCGCTGCCGCCGCCGCCGCCGCCGCCGCTGCCGCCGCCGCCGCCGCCGCTCGCCCTTCTCCGGAGCCGCCGCCGCCGCCGCCATTTGCACGGGGACCCGGGTGACAGGGGCTCGGCGGAGGGGCGGAGGGAGGGGGGGAGGGCCCGCAGCGAGGCCGCCGGCGCCGGCCGGGCTCCCTGCGCCACCGCGCCGCCCGCGGCGAGCCCCGAGCAGCAGCAGCAGCGGCGGCGGCGGCGGCAGCAGCAGCGGCAGCGGCGGCAGCAGCAGCCGCCGAGGCCGGGCGTGCGCCTGAGGCGGCGGCGGCGGCCCTGCGGGCGGCCGGGAGGGGCGGGGGCAGCGGCCGCCGCCGTTTGATGGATCCGAGGATCGCCTGGTTCCAGCCAGAGCAGCTCGGACCGTCCAACAGTCTGTGGATGCAGATCTGGGAGACGACCCAGGGGCTGAGGAACCTCTACTTCAACCACCACTGTCACAGCAGCGGCGGCGCGAGCGGCGGCGGCGGCGGCGGCGGCAGCAGCACGGCCACCGGCGGGAGCGGCAGCAGCACCGGCTGCCCCAGCGGCGCGGCCTCGGCCCCGGCCCCGGCCGGCATGTACCGCTCCGGGGAGCGCCTGCTGGGCGGCCACGCGCTGCCCGCCGAGCAGCGGGACTTCCTGCCCCTGGAGACGACCAACAACAACAACAACCACCACCAGCCCGCGGCCTGGGCCCGCCGGGCGGCCGCGGGCCCCTCGGCGTCCCCGTCCCCGTCCCCGGCCTCGTCCCCGCACCCCTCGGCCGCCGTGTCCGCCGCCGAGCCCAGCGACCCGGCCTCGGGCAGCAGCAACAAGAGGAAGCGCGACAACAAGGCCAGCACCTACGGACTCAACTACAGCCTGCTGCAGCCCAGCGGCGGCCGGGCCTCGGGGGGCGGCCGGGCCGACGGCGGCGGGGGCGTGTACAGCGGGACCCCGTGGAAGCGGAGGAACTACAACCAGGGAGTCGTGGGGTGAGTGCCGGGTCCCCGCGGCCTGCCGGCCTGCCCGGTGCACGCGCGCAGCAGCCGGGCACACGCCCACAGGCGGGGTGGGGGTTGGAGGGCTTGTGGGGGGAGGAGGAGGGACGAGCCCTCCCCCCAGGGGCCACCCTGCGCCGCCTTCGCCGCTGCTGTCACCCCCCCTTGCTCCGGGGGCTGATGGCCGGCCGTCCCCTACACCTGCCGTGCTCACGTGCCGTCCGCACCTGCCCCATCTCTCCCCCCCCGCGACTCTGGCCGGTGGTCCACACCCTCCTGTGCCCCTTTCTGCCCTCGCTCTCTGGCTGTCCACACCTGCCTCGGCGCCGGCGCCGTCGCCGTCATCCCCCACCTTCCTCCATCCGCTCTGGTCTCCATTCTCCCTTTAGGTCTTCCGTCCCCTCTCTTCCCCACCCCTGCCCCCCTCATCACACCCCAAGGCGAGGGGCGCAGGCCATAGGGTATCCATTCATTCCGGGGCGCCGTCGCTGTGTGTCTTTGGTGGGTCTAGGATCTGGAGGTGCTTTCCTTGCCAAGAATGGAAACATCCAGAACGCTCCTTCCCCTCCCCCAATCCCAGACAGGAATCGTGTCGGTCCTGTTAAGGCAATTGCCTGCGCTCGACCCTTTGGCCTATCTTAGCGTTTTTCTCCCTAGCCGGTCTCCTCCGTTTGCCCTGCCTTGTTTGTGGGCAGGGGACACTTGGGTGAGTTGAGGCTGGCCCTGGCAGGCAGCTCTGCTTCCCAGGCCCCGGTAGAACTTTCTAGGAGTTCATGGTCCAGGGCGCCAGGATTCTCACAGTCAAGTTGTCATCTTGGCAGAAGCAGCCTGGGCTTTTTAATTCTAGGAGGGTAACTTCATGCTAATGAGCCAGTATTGCACCACTGGTGACTTTCTGTTTAAAGTTCAGCCTTCACCGAGTGGAATCTTACCTGACCCCTGGTGAGTTATTGGTCCACAAGCAAGGGACCGTTTCCAGCTGGATTTCCCTTCTGGAAGAGCCCTGTGCTGGGTTACCTTCCTCTGTCATTTGTCTTTTTTCTTTTCCTTTCTCTCCTCCCTCTCCCCCCTCCCACCCCCCCCACAAAATTAAGCTTTTGCAGTGTGTGTGTGTAACAGTCGGCAGTTGCTTGGCATTCTTCAGGTCCTGTTTTATACTGAGGGCTGCAGTATCCGAATGAACTCAGCCATTAGGAATCCGGCGTGAGCCTCATCTTCTGTTCCCCCATTCAGATGGACCCTGCCTTTGGCAGGAGACGCAGTACTGCATACCTGTTCAGAAGGCCTGGGTGAAATGAGTTGGTGGGTGGCAGCTGCTTGTAACACGCTGCTGTCTGGGGTCTGCTACTGTTAGGGCTCCCACCTTTTTCAGAAAAGACAGTCAGGTGTCTGAGGCTGGCTGCTGAGGGTTGAGTCTTCCAGAGCTCGGCTCCGAGGGCGCTCTCCATGGTCATGGCGCGGGCTCTGTGCTTGCGTCCTGTGGGAGCCGCGCACCTGTGCTCCCAATGTGAGCTGTGTTGACACCAGGGGGTTCTGGTAGGAATCGCCCCCCAATGAAATCAGCGCTGTCGGCTAACACCTCGACATCCCTGAAGAGCATTTTACTCAGGCTTCTTTGTGTACATGTCTACAAGAGAAAGCTATTATATCCCAAAATGCTGCTTGCTTCTTTATTTACTCATTTTTAGTAGATTAGAAATTGCTCTCCCCTCCACATGCTGTTTATGGCAGAGGATACTGTGAAAGTTCACGCTGTGAACTTAACATAGAAGCAGGATATTCCTGTTTCTGATTCAAATATTGCCTTGCTCTCAGAGGGATTACAAGAGGAATTTTCATTTCCCAGAGGGATTACTGTTTAAAAACTGATTGTAAACCTGTTTTAAAACGGCTTATCACTTCATCAGACTTTCCATTCATTGCCTCCCTTCAGGGCACGTTAGAGATAAAAAAAAAATTCAAGAAAAGTTTTTCAATTCTAAGACCTTTTAGTTTTGAAAAATGTATGAAGTTCCTAAGAATGCTGAAAGACAGTTTTTGCTTTGATTTATGCATCATTTTGTAACTTTTAAGGAAGTGCCGCTGTTTTTTTTAATGCAGGTTCTTCACAAAATATGAATGCAGAGTATATCTTCAATACTATGTTGTTTTGAGATTAAATAGAGTGAAACTACCAACACCATTTTCTGCCTTCTCAGGGTGATTATGAGCTAACATAGTAACAGACTGTGGTGATCTCTGGCCCTGGGTCAGTGAGACAGGCTCTCCTCCCTGGGTGTCTTATCTGCCGACCCTTCCTGCTTCAGCCAAACCCCTCAGCCTCTTTCCCCTGAACACTCCTTTAAGACAGAGGTCAAAATCCAGACTTCTTGCATTGCTCAAGTTCTTGATTTTTTTTTTTTCTGTTTGTTTGATTGCTCTGAACTGTTGACGTACTTGCTTCATGTTCATAATTCAGCTTGCGTATATTCAACTCTCCCTTTGTGTGTGTGTGTTTCCATAAGGAAACTCCTCTGGGCTTACTGTCTCAGCCTTCTTCCCCATATAACCTCAGGCCCAGGAAGTTTATTCATGTTTCTTTAATTAAAAAATTATATGTATGTATATAAATTTTGGAAAGTGCATACCCACAGAGGAGTCAATACAAACACAGAGATAGACATTCAGACGTTCACCCCCTGCGTTCCTGCAGCGGCCAGGGCTGAGTCAGGTTGAAACTAGGAGCTCACAGCTCGATCCAGGTCTTGGATGCCAGGACTTGATCTGTCACCTGCCTCCTAGGGTAATGTTAACAGAGCTGGGACTGGAACCCAGACACTCAGATGTGGGACGCACACATCCCAAGCAGCGGTCTTAACCACCGGGCCAAATGCCCATCCTGTCTTATTTGCTTAAGTTGCTTCCACTCACCCGTTCTCGGAGGGACTCCGTTTCCTCTGCAGAGTTGACTGTGGTAGGGGTGCGTTGGCCTTCCTTCTCTGGCTGGTCTGTAGCAGTGAGCCTCAAGATGTCAGGAACTGGGCTGTTGGTCACCGTGGAAAGAGGGGGTGGTAAGAAGTAGCAAGCAGAAATTACAGAGCACTTCCTCCTGAGCCCGGCTGTCCAGAACCTTCTTGTGGGGCGGTACTTGGTGCTTGTCCAGGGCCGTGAGGCTAGGTTTGTGTCAGCTGGACTGCCAGATCTGTAGATGCCTTCTTAAGGCTCCGGAGACTTATTCACAATCATGTGTTGGAGTGGGAGTTTGGCTGTGGAGACTTTGAGAAGAACCTCTTGGAAAACTTGGGTTTGAGGGGTGGGTTCTTGAACTATAGTGGTGGGAGTGGGAATGGGGAATGAAGAAAGAATGTGTTAGAATTATTACAGGATGGGCTGCAGAGAATTTGGCCTCCCCTAGTGAATTGAATTACCCCCACTAAAGCTTTTTACTTGATTAATTGGAGGAAATGTTGGTGATTTTTTTTTTAAAAGATTTGTTTATTTTTATTGGAAAGTCATATATACATAGAGGAGGAGAGACAGAGAGGAAGATCTTCTGTCTGATGATTCACTCCCAAGTGACCGCAACAGCTGGTGCTGTGCTGATCCAAAGCTAGGAGCCTAGAACCTCCTCCAAGTCTCCCACGTGGGTACAGGGTCCCAAGGCTTTGGGCTGTCCTCGACTTCCTTCTCAGGCCACAAGCAGGGAGCTGGATGGGAAGTGGAGCTGCCGGGATTAGAACTGAAGCCCATGTGGGATCCCAGCGCGTTCAGGCAAGGCCTTTAGGTGCTAGGCCACGGCACTGGGCCCAATGTGGGCGGTCTTAAAGGTAAAGCGAGAAGGTCCTTATATTTGGGCAGAAGATGTGACATTTAGGTGGACATGTGTTACAGGGTTTCAGGTTTGGAGGTTACAGTTCCCTACTGCAGTGGGGCTGTGTCTGCCTGTGGGGGTCCTTGCCTGGTGCTGCCTGTTGACTCTAGGCCCCGGATCCTGATGTTTCTCTTTAGCCCTGGCATTGTGGCTTATTTCCGTGCAGTATCGCAGTATCGTCACTAGGGCTGGTGTTACTGCTGGGCTTCAAGGTGTTTGGGCAGATTAACACAGGTTGAGTATGAAAGAACTTGGAGGCCTTATCCCACATGCTTTCTGCTAAGTTTAATATCTGTGCATTTGTATGTGCATCCCACAGGAATTTTTTTAAAAATATAAGATTTATTTTATTTTTATTGCAAAGGCAGATTTACAGAGGAGAAACAGAAAGATCTTTGATCCATTGGTTCACTCTCAGAATGGCCGTAGTGGCTGGAGCTGAGCCGCTCAGGAGCCAGGAGCTTCTGCTGGGTCTCCCACGTAAGGACAGGGTCCTAAGGCTTGAGCCATCCTCTGCTGCTTTCCCAGGCCACAAGCAGGGAGCTGGATGGAAAGTGGAGCAGCTGGAATATGAACTGGCACCTGTATGGGATCCTGGCGCATGCGAGGCGAGGACTTTAGCTACCACGGTAAAGGGGGCCCTGTGTGATGGCTAGGTGGCTAACTCCTTGACTTGCACGCACTGGGATCCCATATGGACGTCGCTTTGTGTCCTGGCTGCTCTACTTCCCATCCAGCTCCCTGCTTGTGGCCTGGGAAAGCAGTCGAGGACAACCCTAAGCCTTGGGACCCTGTACCCGCATGGGAGACCCAGAAGAAGCTCCTGGCTCCTGGCTTTGGATCAGCTCAGCTCCAGCCTTTGTGGTCACTTGGGGAGTGAATCAGTGAAAGGATAATTTTTTTCTTTATCTCTCCTCTCTTTAATCTGATCTGCCTTTCTAATAAAAATTAAAATATATATATATTTAAAATTTGTAGGGAAACTGAGTAAATAAGAGATTTTTCAAGTCTGAGTTGTGTGTTTACACAGAAGGGTTCCTTTCTTGGAGGGAAGATGGGATGGGAAGAAGATGATGTGAAAGCCTGTGGCAGAGAGGGGAGTGTGTGTGTAAAAAGCAATTTACGTGAGTTGGCAAGATGGGCT